AAATGTTGCATTGAACAGGAGTCATCATATCATACTGAATTACACCAATCAAGCGAACTTCTCTTCTGGCTGCTTAAAATACGTGAAACACTTACAAATTCGATGAATATGTTGTGAACTTTCATTTCACATGAGTTTCTCTTAACACAGGCCCTTAAAGTGTGGCCCTTGGCCTCTGTGCAGTTCTGCGATGGGCAGCACCGGCTCGGGATTCCTCCCCTCACGCAGCCGTTCAGACGGATAGGCCGTGTGGCCCTGTGGTCTGCGGGTGACTTAATTCTAGAACAGTAGACACGTCCCACATTTCTGGTGTTGAACAAAGGTGGCTATGGAGGACACCTTAATAGCAAAGAACAGGTGTCCCGGGAATGTGATACAGACATATGACTGTCACCTGCTTGGGTACCTGTGTGTTTGATGTCATGTGTCCAGCACACAGCTGTTTCCTATGTTGGGTCTATAATCCCTGGTGGCTTTGAATAGCCCTTTATGTACTGCAATATTTTAAAATCAAAAGAAAATAGATTTTTTTTCGGTTTGGATATTTTATTTTGAGGTATTTTTAATATCTTGAGTTGACTATTTGAGTGTTACAATAGGCAATTTCCCTCTTCATTTGGTAACAACATGGTTTAATGCAGGGGCGCTGGGTCTCAGCGAGTGTGTACCAGTGGAGTTCATGAAGAGAGGAGCTATTTGTAGTCACAAGTTTTGATTATTGAAAGCAAGTGTTTAATTCTGAACCTAATTTTTATCTAGCACATTCTCACTCTGTCTCTAGTTTCTAACCAGTATGTTCACAGATAATATACATTTTAAAATTAATTACGTAAATGATTCCAAGGCTTCTTGAATTATCCCTTTTGCTATAAAATGCCTTCTTCTCGCCCCTTGATAAGCATATGCCACAGAGAGAAGTTGTTACGCCATTTGATAAAGCCTCAGAGAAGCTCAGTGTCTTAACCAAAGACACACAGCGTGTTGGTAGAAAAGCCAGGGAGACGACTGTATTCTCTTGTCTCCTTATCACATCCTTGGCATTTAAAAAAGTTTTAGGCTAAAAAATGAAATATCTGTCCATATGATCCGAGGGTGCTCATTAACACACAGATGTTCACAGGTTGTTGAAAGAGTGCAGAAGTCTCCCCATGTTTTAATCCTGGAGAGTTAGGATGCCTTACAAATCGATGAATAATCTTTCAATGTGCAAAGAAAGGCCAGGGTTTTCTCTCGACACCTCCTTAGTCCCTGCACCCTTCCACATAAAACAGAACAGATGCTTCTTGGTTAAATTGAAGTAACATTTATTTATATATAACTATGGGAAAGTAATTAAAGCGGCTTTATAGACCTGCAGGGAAATGGATGGGTGGGGATGTGATGAGTCCCAGACAACGATGGGTGTTCCTGAGTGTCTTCGAGCCAACGGTAGGAAATAAGTGTGAAATATTTGGCCCCTAATCAGAAGTATAATCACATTAGCATGTACTTGAACATTAGAGAATAAAGTGATACGAATTAAAGATTTATTACTGAATTTTGAATTTATTTATGTTCTGCAATCTAAGCCTCATGCTTAATAGTTTAAATATTAAGTGAAAAAAGACAATATAATTAAACATAATAGTTGTATGTCAGACCGTACATTTAGTTCTAATAATTCTTCATTCAGGTTAAGAGTGCCAGCCCTTAGTAGATGCAGTTGGAATTTTTCTCTTTGGTATGTGAGGGCACAGAAACAGAAATAGGAAAAAAAGAAACCTGCTGGACTTTGGGTTATCAGGGACAGAAGAGTTGATTGAACTTGTGTGAAAACTTGAAGAGGGAAGTAATATTAACCGGCCACATGCCAGGTCCTTTGACTGGTTCCTGCCTTTGGTCCCCACACAAGCCAACACATTGCCAGTATTTCCTATTATCTCCCTCTCTCCTCTCCCCCTAAAGAAGCAAAAACTTGTCAAGTTAAGTAAGAGCCATGAAGTAATGTGGCAGCAAATAAAAGCTTGAATTTGAGCCCAGTTAAGTTCGATCCCATGGTTTATGTTTCTTCCCCATCGATAAACTGTTTCATAAACGTCATATTTGCTTTTGAGGGACTAGAGGGACCACCACCTGGATACAATCTCGAGACTCAAATGTCCTCTCAAAGAAAGTTGAAATATCAGGAAGCTGACATTTCTGAGTATCTTTTTTCTTGAATCCTTTATTATTAAAAAAAATTATGCACATACATATTTATATAAATCCCTTAGCATGGTCATAGCCAGAAATCTGATTAGGATGGTTTTGTTTTGTAGAAACTCCTGATTACCACCGAATTGTGTTAGCATCTCTCTCAAGTATCAAGCCAACTACAGGAAAATGGTATAGAGTCGCTTTCTATTGAGATTTTTCTGTGGTTGATTCAGAAATGAGGTTTCATGGGTTAGGAACTTTTGTGGACTTGCTTAGGACCGTGTACCTACGGTTAGGACCATATGACATTTATTAAGAGTCTTCAGTACCTGATACTGCGTGAGTTTAAAAGATGAGAAGCCTCAGGATAGTCACAAGTAAGGTTTCATGTGGGGGAAACTTGCAGGGACGATATTATGTTTTAAAATGATGAATAAAGTCAGAAGACAATTGTCTCTTTTATGAGTTTTGACTTGATTGTGAATGATTTCATCGAGTTTCTTTTTCTCTTTCCGAGAATGAAATCATACGCTAAATTGACTACCAGCATTGCTTTCATGGTTTTCCCTGTCAACCTCTTGCTGTATCGCCAGAGGAATGTAAAAATACTGGATTATTAGCTAGTGAATTTGGAAGTCAGACCTTTGGATTCACTGTAAGAATTTCTTTAAGGGATAGACTCTGTACAAACCCAAAGGGAGTAATTTCATACATGCACTTGCTATCTTTATTTGGGTTTTGTGTATCTTGTTACATTATTTATAGCTACATTACCTCCAATGGAAATCATTTGTTAACCCCTTTTATTTAATTTTTGAAATACAGTCAAAGATAGTTGGGCAGTGTTTTTACTACTTTGAAACATTAGTTTGTCATATGTTTGCCTTATGTGGTCTGAGGAGTGAAAAGATTTGTCTGAGAATCTTAATCAAATTCTTAAATTGATATCCGAGACCTAATATTTTTGGACATGGAGATAGTGGAATATTATTAGGATGGAAGTGTCATATTCTACATGCTATAATTTTTGTTGGTGAATCATGGGCCCTGTTCCCAGCTTCAAGCAGAAAAGCGAAATTATCTTGGTTAGGTTAGAATTCTCATCTATCATACGCTTCCATTTCCCACTTGCCTTTCCAAATTCCTTCTTGGGATTTTGCCAGAGTCAACTAGAAAATGTTTCATGGACTTTAAGCTTTGAGAGAAAAGACACTGCAAAATGCCTCCGTTATCCAAACAAACACAGCCAATTTGTGATTATTCACGTTGTGATTTTTCTTCTAGAAATCTTTAATTCCACAAGAACTTCACCTGCTACTTGGCACAACTCTGATCAGGGAAAATTCTCCTCATTCTAACTACTGTGTATGCAAAACACTTTTAATTAACCTGTATCCAAACTGAGTTGTAAAACACACTGACTCCAAAATACAATACAATTCTCAGGGCCCAAAAATGCATTTAAGAACCTACTCCCAAATTCTGATGATCCATTCCACTTTTTCCCGTACAACCATGGGTGGTTTATATATTGAGTCAATTTTTAAGGATGCATCTGTGCTCATCTCAATACCGTAATCAAAGAATTGTTATTTTATACAATTTTAAAAATTATAACAGGAAATGCACCTATCATTTCTATATTAAGTCCATCAGTTTAGTGATTAGACTTAACCTGCGTCATACGTCTTTAGAGAAGTGGGCAGATATGAGCAGTTGGTCCTTCAAAGACACTCACAGTTTATCTTTGACTTTTGACTGGGCCATATGTGAGATTTTGTGTTTGTGGAGCAAGTGAAAGCTTGAACACTTTACCTCCGCCCCCATTGAATCCCTGGTCTTTATAGTTGGGCAGATGAATGCGCTGAAGTGAGAGCCCCCACGCTCACTGACTGCTGGGCCATGGACACCACTCTGGAGCTGGTCACTGCTGCTCAAGACGGCCAGACGTCTTTTCACAGCTGGCTTATGGCTAAATAACTTATATTCTTTCTTCTCTCTCTCTCTCTCTCTCTTTTTCTCTCTCTCTCTTTTTTTACAGCTGTTGTGAACTTGGACAATTCTGTGGTTGATCTGGAGACTCTTCAAGCTCTCTATGAGAATGTGAGTAATAGAAGGAATTTTAAGTGTGAGTATATAATACATACACGATACTTGTCACTGTATTCATCTAGGCTTGTTGCTTTAAGGAGGAAATTTGATCTGTGTGTAGTGAACTTGTGTAAGTATAGATTTGTTAAAAATACTTCCTAGGAACATACTGGACAAGCGTGTGGTTCATCGTTTTAAAGATAATGATTGAAAGCACACTGTGTGTGAGGTCATACACATTCCGTTTTTGTAACTCCAATAACAGTAAAGACTCATGTGGGGGTCATTGGAGCTGAGCACGCTTCTGTACACTAGCTCATTTAATCTTTACATGAAAACTATAAGGAGGTACAATTATCCCCACTGTACATAGAGGAATTTTAGGCATGGAGAAGTTAGATGACTTGCTCAAGGTCACGTAGCTAGTGATGTGACGTACCTGGATTGAATTCATTTGGGCTCCAGTGCTCTAAACTCCCACAGTTTAATTCACCAAGTGGCAGGGCACTCTGGCTGCCTTCTGAAGCATTTGGCAGGAAAAGAGGAAGGTGTCAGGGGAGAATGGCCGTGGCATGGTGTAGTCCATGCCTTTGGAAAGGTGGTCTGTGCAATGCTATGTGGAATGGTTTTAGCTGGGACGTGGCATGAAGTAACATCAATTCAGGCCGTAAGAAAGCAGTTGTCTTTTCAGTGCTTTTGATTATACCTATGAGAAAGTCTCAGGGGGCCCCTGTTTGTCTCTAATAATTTTGGGTTCTTTTTTCATTTTATTCCTGATCTTGCCTGTGCTCTGCCTGGCGTTGAGCTTCTAGGCTCTTTGGGGCGCGGCCTTAGTTGGTCCTTGACTTTTTTCATTGCCAAGGCAAAGAACCCCTGGCTTTGGGAGACACATGTGGTGGCCAGGATGCAGACTGCCTTCCCTGACCACTCCCTGAAGACAGTGTATTCAGCCCACTTGTCTGCTCTTGAATTTGGTACTTTTTAAACATATGTATACGTGGTTTCCCCTGTGAGATCAAGACCTTTGTAAGAGAAAATAGTTCTCATGGGGCACTGCACAGAATCTGTCAGTCAGACTTAGAGTTGCTACCCAGTCGGTGACCACAGGCCCTCAGACTGGGTCATGAATGAAGACTGAGAGGGAAGGTTTCAGTGGTTTATTATGTAGTTGATGCTACATGGTGGAAAACCGGAGAAAATAAATTATGCATTTAGTATAATAACCCAGGGAGATGGTTATTTAAAACACAGTTATTTAGAGGTACAGAGAGTTCTCATTTCTCTTGAATCCTTTATACCAACCCTCTCCCAACCAAGGGAGGTCCATGGAAGAAGTGAGGAAATACAGGTAAAATAATCTTTTCAGCAGGTCATATTGATGTATGATGTCGGTGTATATATAGCTCTGTTTCTCGTGCATTCCTTATATACGCAGCTATACATGGGTTTACATATGTACATAATATATATCTATATGTGTGTGTATATTATATAAAGACATATGAATGTCTTATTTTAACCCGAGCTTTTGTCTGTTGGGGATTTTCTATTACTGCTTCAAATTCATTGCTAGTAATCAGTCTGTTCAAATTCCCTGTTTCCTTCTGGTTTAGTTTTGGAAAGTTGCATATTTCTAGAAACGGATCCATATCTTTTAGATTGTTCAATCTGTTGGATAAAGTCAGAAGACAGTTGTATCTTCTATGAGTTTTGACTTGACTGTGAATGATTTCATGTTTATAGTATTCTTTAAGTATAAAGAATAAGTTATTCTTTAAGTATAACTATAGTATACTATTTAGTATAGTATTTGTATTTCTGTGCTGTGGACTGTACTATATTTTCTTTCATTTCTGATTGTATTTATTTGTGCGCTCTCTCTTTTTTTTAATGAGGTTCGTCCATTTTATTTATCTTTTCAAAGAGCCAGCTCGTAGTTTCATTGGCTTCTCTATTATTATTTTAGTCTCCACTTATTTCTGCTCTGATCTTTATGATTTTAATCCTCATACTTACTTTGGTTTCTTTTCCCCCCTGGTTTCTTTAGGTGTAATGTTGGATAGATTCTCTATTTGGGATTTTTTCCTGTTGCTTGAGGTTGGCCTGTATAGCTACAAACTCCCCTCTTAGAACTACTTTTGTTGCATCCCATACATTTTGGCGTTATTTTTTCATTTTAATTTGTGTCGAGGTAGTTTTCGATTGCTTCTTTGATTTCTTCTTGGATCCATTCGTTGTTTAGTGGCGTGATATATAATCTCCACGTATTTATGTTTTTCCATTTCTTCCTGTAGTTGATTTCTAGTTTCATTGTGGTCAGAAAATATGCTTGCCATATTTAATCTTCTTGAATATATTGGGACTTGTTGTCCGTTCTGGAAAATGTTTTAAGTGCACTTGAGAAAAGTGTGTATTCTGCATTTTTGGAATGAAATATCCTTAAAATGTCTATTAAGTGGATCTTGCCTAATGTGGCACTTAAGGTCATTATTTCCTTATTAATTTTCTGTCTGGATGATTTTCCATGGAGGTGGTCCCCTACTCTTATTGTATTCTGGTTAATATCTGCCTTTACATGCATTAATATTTGCTCTATGTAAGTGTGTGCACCTTTTCGGCTATGCTGATACTTGTAATTGCTATACCCTCTTCTTGGAAAGGCCTCTTTATCTTCTTTGCCTCTATCTTTCTTTGCCTCTTTGCACATTCTTTGTTTTAAAGTCTGTTTTGTCTGGTGTGAGTATTGCTACCCCAGCTTTCTTTTTATTTCTATTTTCATGGAATATCTTTATCTATCCCTTTACTTTCAATGTAAAGTGAGTCTCTTGTGGGTAGCATATAGATGGGTTTTGGATTTAAAAATATATATATATCCATGTATTTCAATTGGAACATTTAGCCTGTTTGCATTTAAACTTATTATTAAATAGGTTCTTATTACCATTCCCGTAATTGTTTTTTTACTTTTTTATTTTGTTTTCTTCACTGTTCTTCTCTTGATCTCTTTTCTTCTGATTTGCTGTTTTCTTCAGTGTTTTGCTTGGGTTCCTTTCTCTTTACTTTTTGTATTTTACATAGGTTTTTGCTGTGGTTATCATGAGGTTAATAAATATCCACATACATGTATAGCAGTCTATTTAAAACTGATGTGTTTTAAGTTCAAATTCATTTTAAAAGCACTATGGTTTTACTCCTCTGTGCACTCTATGTTTTTGATGTCATTTTATATCTTTCTGTTTTGTGTGTCCCCTACCTGTTCATTCTAATTATAGTTAATTTTGCTACTTTTGATTTTTAACCTTCATATTAGCTTTTTAAGTGACTGACTCACTGTGTTTATTATATATTTGCTTTTACCAGTGAGATTTTTTTTCCTCCTTTATTTTCTTATTTCTGGTTATGGCCTTTTATTTTCTTCATAAAGAAGATCCTTTAAAATTTTTGCAAAGTCTGTTTAGTGGAAGTAAACTCCTTTAGTTTTTGCTCGTCAAAGAAACCCTTTATCTCTCCTTCATTCCAAATCATAACCTTTCCAGATGCAGTATTATAGGTTATAGGTTACTTTATTTCAGCACTTTTTATGTTTCCTGCCACTCCCTTCTGGCCTGTAAAGTTGCTGCTGAGAAATCAGGTGATAGCCTGAAGGGGTTCCCTTGTATGTGACTTGCTGTTTCTTTCTTGCTGCCTTCAAGATTGTCTCTGTAGCCTTAGCTTTCAATTAAAATATATCTCGCTGTGAACCTCTTTGGGTTTATTTTGTTTGGAACTCTCTGTGCTTCTTGTACCTAAATATCTTCCCCCATGCCCCAGATTAGGAAAGTTTTCAACTATTATTTCTTCAAATATACTTTCTGCCTGTTTCTCTCTCTCTTCTCATTCTGGAATCTATATAATGCAAATGTCAGAGAGCTTGATGTTGTCTCAGAGGTCCCTTATACTACCCTCATTTTTAAAAATTCTTGCTTTTTGCTGTCCTGATTGTGTGATTTCCACAATTCTTACTTTCAGTTCACTAATTTATTTGCCCGTATAAATTGATCTGCTGTCAATTTCTTCTAATCTGTTCTTCATTTTAGTTATTGTATTCTTTACTCTGATGTTTTTTTATTATATTTTCTGACTTTTTTTGAAGTGCTCTCTGAGTTTCTCTATTCTACTCTCAAGTTTGTTGAGAATCTTTATAACCCTTTCTTTGAATTCTTTATCAGGCAGATTATTTATCTCCATTTCATTGGAGTTTTTCTGTGGAGTTTTTTTTCCTTCCTTTACTTGAGATGTATTCCTCTGTTCCCCCATTTTATTTGACTTTCTGTATTTGTTCCTATGAATTGTATGAAATAGTTGTCTCTCCCCATGTAGAAAGAATAACCTCTGTAGACTGTGTGATGCATGATTTTCGCAGGCCAGTGGTAGGGTTGGCAGGTGTGGAGCCTGGGTTGTAACCTGGCCAAAACGAGTGAGTTTTCTGTGTGCCCTTATGATCTGGGTGGGGCTGCCTGATGTAGCTTGTCTGTCTCTTTGTCTGTTGCAGGAGCCAAGTCCAGGTGAGGCTGGGCTGAGTACGTGTGTTGTATTGTCCTACTAGTTCCTTACTTTCTCACCACAGGGTAGCCTTATGAATTTTAGATTTGTGTTTGTTGTGGTTTTTTTTTTTTTTCCTATTTTGTGTGTGGGGGGGAAGCTAGTGGGATTTTGATATAAATTGCATTGAATCTGTAGTTATTTTTGGTAGTATTGACATCTGAACAACATTAAATCTTTCCATCCATAAACACAAAATATATTTGATTGTGTCATCTTTAATTTTTTATCAATATTTTATAGTTTGTAATGTATAAATCTTTCATTTCCTTAATTAAGTTTATGCCTAAGTATTTTAAGTATTTTATTCTTCTTATGTTATTGTAAATGGGATGTACCATATTAATTGATTTTTATATATTGAACCATCCTTGCATCTCAGGGATAAATCCCATCTGGCCATGGCAAATGATCATTTAAATTTTTCTGTT